CTTGTGATGATGATGATGATGATGATGATGATAATGAGAGTGATGACGATTGGTCATGATGTTGACGAATATAGGTTTATGTATGGCTCTTTTTGTCTATGCAGACGGTCAATTTAGCTTGAGATGGTCTCAAGAATGTCTTCAAGCAGCTTCTTTCATAGCTAATTCTTCCTATGTTTGAAGCGCAGATTCTGTCGCAGTGCGTGCTTGCCAGTGACGTGAACCGAAGCTCTGCATTTCCGCTGTTTTTCTTTCGACGTTGGCACTTCTCAGCCTGGTTGTTTCTGAGGCTGCTCTCTTGTATTATAGTTATCTCCTTTATCATTTTCCTACATGTTTTCCGGTCCTCAGCTATTTCTTCCAGGATGCTGACATCTACTCCAAACTTAGATATATATATAGAGTGATACATCATTATTGCAAAAAGGCCGAGATACTCTATAAAAATCCCCTCTGCACTCCGTGTTAAGGTGAGGGTGAGTCCATTTTTATAGATATTTAACATAAAGACTGTGCCACTGTCTATACATTATTATAGTCCAAAATTATTAAAAATTCCAAACCCTGTCATTCATGTTTCCGACAGTGACGCAGGCATACTTGTTTTTTAATGTTTTAATTATTTTTGCAACTCTGACTTCCCACCAGAAGTGGTTTCATCGAAACCTGACCCAGTGTATAACTGCTACCCCTCCCCCCCACCCATTTCATCTCCATCCCTCCAAACCATACCCCTCCTCCCAACTGTTTTCCTCCCCCCCCCCATTACAAATAGCGATGTTATGAAATGAAACACGTTATTACAATTTATAAATAACACGACTTTTCTTTTCAATATCCTAGAAGAATCCTAGGCAAAGAATAAATCGCTTGTAGCATTGGTGAGGAGAAAAAAAGAAAGAAGGTGTTTAAAAAAAAAGCTTTGTTGTGACGTAGCTTTTTTCCAAAGACTTACGTACACCTCGATCACACACTGCCATGGCTGTCAGGTTTCGCTCTCTAGCTCTATAAAAACTCTGCTGTCAAACGTGAGCACCATGGCTCGGGCAATTACGCCCAAAATGAAGGACAAAACAGCCAGAAGTCTTGCTGTAGTCAACTGGCGGCGGCGAGTTCCCCCGCCCCCCCCCTCCCCATTGTCCTTCCTTTGGCTCAAATGGTGGGCTCTAAAGAGAACCGGATATACGCCAGAGGGTACGATCTTGTTGTTGTTGTTGTTGTTGTTGTTGTTGTTGTTGTTGTTGTTGTTGTTGT